TATATATATATATATATATATATATATATATATATATATATATATATATTTATTTATTTAAATGCTGTGATCACTGCCCTAAGATACTCTCCAAGTGAAATTCCGGATGAAAACAAAGCACCTTTTTTATTGTTAGATCTTTCATGTTACAATCATGCAAGTTTTTACTCAACAATCTCCACTTTATATGTACCAAACAGATATGGATTAAAAATGGCATAAATCATGAACACTTGATTAAAAGAATCACATTTAATTTCACAAAAGTATCAAATATAAGAAAATAAAGAAAATAAACTACTTAACATGACCGCCGGTCTTGAAAACTGTAGCACTATTTATCAACACAATAAAGTTATCAGTGACTAAGGTGAAAATATTACGACCACTTACTGCTCTAATATTCAAGCGTAGAGATCCTGCTGGACCAGAGCGCAACATAAATCTACTCATATCATAATTTGGCTGCTTTGTATCCAAAGATTTCTCTGTTCAAATAATGGAAGAGTAAGAAAATATACAAACAAGATATAATTTGGCAATTCACTTTCCAACTACACAAAAGAAATAACCAAAATTCTGCTTGAACAAAAAATATTGCCTGAAAACATTACTGTTATCTCTGAAGGTCAAATAGTCACAGGGAGAGGAATCTTGCATTTTGATCCAACCAACACAACTATATCCACAGAACAGAATAACATTAAGAGAATTAGCAACGGAGGATTTGCAGGCATTACCCAAGTCCTCAAATTGCGCTCGACTCAGGAGAACAGCGGGTATATACGCCTCTAATGGATCCAATTTCTTCCTATTATCGTTGCCGAAAGAATAAAAACTAATAATTAGAGCAAAGAAACGAATTTTTTGTAACAATTTCCCATTCTGAGGGGAATAAATCTGATACTGATTCAAGAATGATGAAGACCTAATGAAAAAAATGCTTCGCCATCCAATCCATATGCGAATTATCTTGGAAGGGATGAGCTTACCGCTTCACGTACTTATCAAAGAGGTTGACCGCATCAGCACCTGCGATGAAACACAGGGAGGAGAAGATTAGCAGTATTTGGGCTCGAAAAAAGCGGCGGGGGTAGGAGAAGGATGGGGAAGAGGGCGCACCGTCGGGATGGGCGGAGGAGCCGCAGAGGAGGGAGAGAAGGGCGATGGAGGCGGTCCGCCTCGTGGCCGACGGCGGCGATGACGAAGACGCGACGCACCGCCCCCTTCGTCTGGTGGCGGCGGACGAGAGGTGCGCCGCCCCGTGGGGTACGATAGAGGAAGCGGTCAGCACAGTGGATGCCATGGCGCAGAGGACCCAACAGACGGGATGAATAAGGCCTCATCCTCCCGCCTTTTGATGACGCCGTTATTTTCCTTGCCGATATATCGATGAGTAAAAATAACGGCCGTTATTTACGGTCGACTAGTCTGTTATATTTTCTTTTTCCTAATTTTGATTTTGAAGCAAAATAAAAAAGGCCCAAAAAACTGATTTCTGCATACTATTAAATTTTTTATATTATAAAAATGATGAAAATATTATTTAAATAATAATAGTAAAATCCATACTTCAATTAGATCGAAATATATAATATGAATAAAAATTATATATATAATCTTTAAAAAAATCCAGAGGTACATAAACATTCCTCAGCTCATGTAATCGTCTAATGGGAAACCATCTAAATAATCTTCAATGAGTTGATAGTGATGAGACTTTGAAAATGAGATGAATATCTTTATTTTCTTCTTCCTTTATTTTTCTCATAATTTATTTCTTTTTTTTTAATTTTCCCACCATCTCCATCAGTTGTGAAAGAGGTTTATTTATGAGCTCTCCAACCAATTCTGTTTTTTTTTTATGCAAAAATATGATAAATTTATAGAAAAAATTGAAAAATAAGAAATGAGATGAAACGGGAAGTTCTTTATTCATTTCATTTGGTGTCAAAACTTTCTTCACGATCGTATATGGTTGGGTATAACGTTGGATGTATAAGGTGGGGCCCACGAATACAGTTAGGATAATGCTTACGTGTCTTCGGTATTTTCTAATTTTGTATTTAATTTTTATTCATATCGTATATATTTGTTATAATCGGAGCATTTGATTTTTGTGCTATTGTTCAAATGGATATCAAAAGAATAAGATTTATTTTTACCTCAAAACGGTTTCTTAGGTGCCCGTTGAACTTGTAGCGGATCGGACACAACATGAATATAACACCAGATATAATTCCAAAACGAAACAAACTCAGCGGTCTTTGAGTGGTGGAGAAACGAGGATGACAAGATAAAACTGGAACAAAGAGACCGCGTTCCGCCGCAGATAGCTAAGCGTTCGAGGTGTTTGAGTAGCTGCGGCTCCCGTTCTGATGGCCGCCGCCGCCGTCCAATCTCTCCTCGTGGCCTCCTCTCCGCCCTGCCTCTTGCCACCATGTCACCTACTCTCTCTCTCTCTCTCTCTCTCTTCTTGTTCTCCGCCCTTCTCGACTGTTCCAATGTGGTACTGAAGGGATTTAACGCGACCCGTTTGCGTTCTGCAGGTGCCGCTGCTGCCTCCAGACCTCGTGCACTGCATCGGTCGCCCTCCTCCACCGACGCTTCCCGGCTCGTTTCTTCCTTCACGCGCGGCTCTCCCGGTGGTAGTCAACCCTTGGTTAAAAAAAATAATCGATTTTGCTTTGATTTCTCTGGTTTCGGGCGTTAGATAGGCCAAATTGGGTTCTGAATTTATGGTATGATTCTTATTAGGGTTCGACATGGGAGGCTAAATTAATATGATTCCGTCTTTTTTTATCTTATTTGCTGCTCTCAACCTTTCAACAACCAAGAATTGGCTCACTGATAACTTCTTGCTATTTCTAATGTTGCAAAGTATTTTACATGCAGTCTTTTGGGTGACATCTCAGAGAAAGAAAGTTAATCATCAAAGAACATCTGTTTCCATAAGGTGTGAGCAGGGAACAAAGGAGAGTAGCGGATTGGATGTGTGGTTGGGTCGCCTTGCTATGGTTGGGTTTGCAACAGCAATCACAGTCGAAATATCAACAGGGAAAGGACTTCTAGAGGTATGGATTCAAGACTGATCTAAAATACTTTTATGTCTAATACAATCTGTGCTCTGGGGATCAGCACACATAAAAGCATACGATGGCTCAGGTCAAACACCCTTCCAAAGAAAATAGGACATTATTGACATATCAAAATTTGCCAACCAATTGGCACACCTATTTCCTTCCCTGTAAATCTGGATCGATTTGTATTCAGACAAGGACACCTATAAATATATGGTCTAAAATATTGAGTTATGCAAGATATCATGTGTAAATTGCTACAGTTATCATGTAGTAGTACTTCATGTGCTAGTATTGTAACACTGTACTAGGTCCCTAAGTGATGTTCTTTATCAATTGTTGCACATTATATATATACTTCCCTGTGATAGTTTAAATTTCTTTGGATGAGGTAGTCTTGAAATTTCACATTTGGTAATTTGATGTATCAGGCAACAGCTTATGTATCGTGCAACGACTTTTTTTATCCTGAATAATTTATTGTTGCTTCAGTTCTTGTAATATTTCAATATAAATTATTGAGGTGTTTTCATATGTTTTCTATTGCTTATTTGTCCAAGACAAATTTGGAATGTAGAAAAGAATTATGTTTATCTAAGATGATTGAATGTGTATACTTGGTCATCTTGTATCAATAAATCTGATTAAGACCTTATAGAAGATTTGTAGATACTTATCCTCCAACTTCACCGTACTTGAACTTAGGGGGTTAGAAACATTCACTTAAAAAAGTCCTAAAAATTGATTTAGTCTTAAAAAATGGAAAATTAAGTATAGCCATTTAAATAATTATTATTTAGTGACTGTCATCATTCCTTGACATTAGAATACTATTCATCATCATTTTTCACATGTAATTTTTTTTCAACATCTTTTTAACGATTGTTGTCATGCAAAGAGCATGTGGAAAAAGACAGATAATGTCAAGAAGGAACTAAGGAAGAAAAACAAGTTGGTTTTTCAGTTTAAGTTTCGGTCCTTTTTTAATAATGATATATGGAGCTAATTACAAATAAGGTTCCGCTTGATGTTGGTTCAGGTTCTGCAATAGGGTCTGCAGTAATTGAAGCCTGCATATTCCTTGGCAGACCATGTAATTTCTCATGCATCTGGTTTGGTGCTGTTAATTGTTGCAAAGTAACATATCCAACATATAAGTAGGAGTCTTAATCACTTTGGACATATTACTGTCGCATCAGGACAATATGCAGAGGCTATGACAGAGTTAATAGCATTTGTTGGAGATTAAGGACATTACGGTTAAGGGCTTAGTCTGTCAACGCTTTAGACATACTCAGGTTACCTTAACTTGGTCAGCGTAGTTTAGTACATAAAATCACAGGTGATCAGATTAAGTTTCTCTTATTCTTTTCATACTTGAATAATCCAAACATTTAGTTGAGTCAGCAACAAAACAACAGATGGTTAATTTGTCTAGTCTTGGCAAGAATGTGTGCATACTCTTCGTGACTTTGTCTAAACTTGAACTTATTGCTTCCTTTCAACTGATGCGCCTGGCATGCCAGAGCATCCCTTGTTGCAGTATCTAAATCTTGATGAATTCTAATAAATGATAACTATTTTTGTTTTGCAGAACTTTGGGTTTTTGACACCATTGCCTACTTTAGCATTGGTTGTTACAGCACTAGTTGGAGTTCTTACAGCATTCTTCATCTTTCAGTCTGCCTCTCGAGATTAATCGTTTGTAGATTCTTTTTTCTTATCTTGTTTATATTGCATTGATATTCTTTTTATCCCTTGTTGCAGGATCTAAATCGTGATGAATGCTAACAAATAATAATTATTTTTGGTCTGCAGAACTTTGGGTTTAAGACACCATTGCCTACTCTAGCATTGGTTGTTGCAGCAACAGTGGGCCTTCTTACAGCATTCTTCATCTTTCAGTCTGCCTTTCGAGATTAATTGTTGTAGATTATTTTCTCATTTCTTGTTTAAAGCGCATAGATATGCTTTCAAGCTGATGGATCATATTGCTTGAAGACAATACTATCATGTAAGCTGATGGTTGTCTTATCATGTAAGGTTTACTTGGCAACCTTACTTTTCGTTGATATTTCTATTCACATTTAAGATATGTTTAAAATGTGGAAGGAACAACCAATCAACCATCATGGGAAGTGATGAATTGTGTACAGGAGGGAAGCACGAGTGCTAATTAGTGGCACGTTTTGCTACAACCTCCAAATCTTCCAGTGTTTGGTGAGACTCTTGGCCTACAGAACTTGGTCAAGTTTTGTGCTCCGAGGAGCATGTCATACCCTGTATTAGAGTTTTGAATTAATATAGTTCTTCTTCTTCAGAATAAAAAATTGTGGGATGCTTGAGAGACTTGTTGCTGCCAATTTATGATGCACTTTCTACTCCAAGAATTGCAGTTGAGACATAATTTTGAGGCATCTTTAAGGCTATGCTGGGAAAACTATTCTTTAGAGAAGGCTTCAGTGACAATGATCTGCCCAGCTTGATGTTGGTTCTGGGACTACTGATGGAATATGAGCTTTTGTAGCTTTAGCAACATGGAAAAGCATCCTGTGGAGTGTGGAATAGGAGAAATGTTGATCCAACAATGGAGCAACACTCACTCAAGAATGTGAATATGCTCTGACCTGAGGAGAGGGATGACCAATTACATTGCCACTCAGGATGAATTTTATCTGAACATGAACCCAACTAATTATTTAGATATTTGAAATTAGAGGACTTACTTTTCTATTGAAACCCATCTCTATTAAGGATTTTTTAAAGCTTGATTTGAACAGGTCAAATAGATGCAAATAACAGAAATTTTCTTAATTAAGTAGTTATGAATTTCATGAAATTGAATCATATTAACCACCATATATATTTTCTTAATTAAGAAGTTATGAATTTCATGAAATTGAATGTCATACCCTGTATATATGTTTAAATGTATATATACATATATACATATATATATTATTTATCTATATTATTAAAGGCCTAAATTTCTGACTTAAGCCATTTTCAACCTGATCAAAGGATATCAAAATTCAATCTAAGTGAGGAAATGACACCACATCTAAAAGATTTGATCCATTGTAATACCTACCCAGTGGCATGAATTGCATGCAGTCATCCACTCTGCTTGCTGTCACTGTACTCCCAAATGCATCTCTGCAGTACACTGATCAATGCTGCAGTACATGCAGCTTGTTTTATTCTACTGTACTATACTTTTCCAGTACATGTCACCATATTTTGGATAGCAACTTGACATTCTGGGCCCCAACATGTGGCCCCACTGTGTCTACATCTGGTGCAAGTTGCTTCATGTACTCTTCTCTTACACAGTTGCACTCCTTTCTTGTGTTGGGATGTCAAATTTTATATTAGCAAGGGGGAGATAACATTAAGTTTAAGATCAAATTATCCCAATACAATATATTAGTTTTGACTTAAATATATATATATTCAATACATAAAACTTTTACTAATATAATATTTGAAAAAAATCAATGTACTCAGTCTTATCTTTAAGCCCTCAAACTTTAATATCTCATACATATCACAAAGTAACATCTCATCATTCTATCTACTGTGTCTCTATTTGGTTCAACTTTTCAAGTGTTTGTGTGCATCTGTTTGTTGTCATCCACTTCTCTCACCAATTCATCAAACAATAAAAAGATCTATTACCAATTATCCCTGCAAATGTGCTAATTGGTTATCACATTTTGTGGAATCCTCGAATTCATCAAAACCTTTCTTGAATTAGTTAGCTCTTCACTGATTTCTTCTTACACTCTTCTCTTTCTTCCATATAATCATAACTTGTATTGCTCTTCACTGCTTTCTCCTTACACTCTTCTTATATATATATATATATATATATATATATATATTAACAGTGAGAAAAGTACCCTCTTTTCGTGGAAGAAGTATAGCTCACATGTTAGTCATTACATGTGTCATCATCCTTCCTTTGAAATGTGGATGGCAGAGGGTCACAATCAATGGAGTACCAACATAAAAGATATCCGTATCTTATCAATCAATCACAATCAATGATGAACTCCTCCATTCATTCGATGGGGTTTCGTGTAAGCTAATGGCTTCCTGAATTGATCGATCGATTATGCATGATGCCCACAATATATTTTTTTTTTAGGTATTTTTCTATCCAATTGGTTGGACAAGTTTCTTATCCTCCTCTTCCATTTCTTTTTGTTTCAATATCTTTTTATCTTCTTTACTCCTTTACTCCTTCATCTTCTCTCCCTTCTTTTTCTCTATTCATCCTCCCCCATCCTCCTCTCCTTTATTATATTCTCAAATTTTGATAATTAATTATCATAATTTATTTTAAAAATAATACTAATCATCTTAGAATCATATCATAATAATTCTATAAAAGTTTCAATTGACTTATTATAAATTAATTAATCAAAAATTACAGTCCACCAAAATACTTAATTTTACTATCCAAATTAATTTGTATTTGATTAAAAGATATCCAAATTCTACATCAATAAGTAGACAAACTTACTATCTAAAACTACTACTTTGTCACCGCCTGCACTTCACCTAAAGATGCATATGCAGTACAATGATCACTAATTGCTGTACATGCGACTAATTTTGTCTTCCTCTCCGCCTGCACTTCACCCACTTCAATTCAGTTGCATGTGTGTAGTACACTCATCTTTGTCATTGCAGTACATGCGACCCTCTTTTGCCCTTCCTATATTTTGTAATTTCAAGATTATGATTCTATATATATATATATATATATATATATATATATATATATATATATATATATATATATATATATATGTGTGTGTGTGTGTGTGTGTGTATGTAATTTCCTTTTTTACTTTACTATATAATTATACTATATATATATATATATATATTCATTTAGTTTAAGTGAATTCTTGAAAAAAAATCTATCTTTTTTTCGATTTTTTTTCTATGAGTGTTATATGTTTTTAGAATTATCTAAGAATGCCTCTATTTTTATCTAATATATGAAATATCTTTGAATTGATTTTTTTTCTTCAATTTTTATTTTATTTTTTCTATAATTTTTTTCCCCTCCATTTCTATAGTATTTTTATATTTTCAGTAAACACTAGGAAAACACTTTTAACATAATATAAAAAATACTATAATATAATATTTTTATTAAAAAAATAAAAATAACAGGCACTTTTCAGTAAAAACTAAAAAAGAAGAACTTCTTTTTCTCAAGAAATCATTCTAGTTCTTATGAGATATTCACAAAATCTCGGATCTTATTTTTTCAGCTCCAATCACTCATAATTTATCTGATGAATAAATTAATTAATGAATAATTCTTTATTTTTTTATTTATTGATATAACAAGTATTTTACGGAAGGGCTTGTTATTACCAAACAAAGAAAAATATTATTTAAATTATATAATTGATAGTCATATAATATTAATATTTTGATCCACATATTTTAATATAATATAAAATATAAATATAATATGTAGGGGCATATTTATAATTTTCGAAAGGTTGGTTGCGTATTGATCCGTTTGCCTCACCTCTCCACGGCATAAATATGGAGGGAACGCTACACGCCGATCCCACGCACTACTTCCCCGCCACTCCCGAAAGGTGATCGATCCCTCCACTTGGTTCGATCTCCTCCGGCAGTCGATTAGGCTTCAATTTTGGTTGGGGATCTTCGTCGATTCCAAATTCTTGCTGGCTTTTGAGTCGCAAGGTGTAATAATTTCTCGCAGATTGTTCGTCTTGTCACAGCTTGTCGCGGGAGCGAAAAGATGGAGGAGGACCAGGCGTCGGCGTGGCTCGAGGCGCAGACGATCGCCATCAGCGAGGACCTCGTCGCGGCCGCCGAGCGGCAGCTGGTGTTCCTTGCGGCGGTGGACCGGCGGAGGTGGCTCTACGTCGACGGCCCCTTGTTGGATCACGCCATCCGCAGGTACGGACTTGCTTGCCAATTTCTTTGTGTTAGGGTGTAAATGACGAGTTCCGATGCTGAAGATCGCATCAGGGGAACATAAAAATCGAACGTTGAACCTATTTTTGTGGTGAGAGTGGCCAGGAATTTCTAAAAGGATTTTTATTTGATCAAACAATGAGATTGTAATAACCTAAGTTGATGTTGTTGTTTGGAGTTTGCCACCCAACCAAAGCAAGCCTTTTGCTGGCCATATACGGCTTTCTTATTCAATCTGCTGGATAGGTGAAGGGGTAAAAAAAAAGTCAACGTGGTTGCTTAGCGAATATGCATAGAAAAGAGTGAGAGCATTTGGTTCTTGTGCCAAATGAACAATCAGGATAAAGGAGTCCATTAGATGATGTGTAAAAAACTGAGGGATAAGACCAATGGGTTAAATGATGGCTTCATTAATTGGACAATCAAATGGTCCAATGAGTGGTCGAGGTACCTTATCTTATTGCAGCACAATCTATTGATATAATGTGGCACAAACATTTTCTAAATGCAAGTTAGATGGCCCATTTCATCATTAGGGTTGACATAGTCAAAGAGTAGTAGATCCAAAGGAAGTATCTATATAAAACGATCTTACCTCTGTTCAGTACAAAGGAGAACATATTACATAGCTAAGATGATTTAGTTTAATCTTTCTCTGGGAGGAGTGGTCCAACTAAATGGAGAGACTATATATATATATATATATATATATGTCAAAGTTCTACTTTGAACCAGTACAAAAAAAAAAATATATTACACAGCTAAGATGGCATCCAATGCGTGGCACCTGGTTCCATGGAACAGAGGGCTGCATAAACCTAGTTCTTTCATTCTACTATGTACAGGACCAGCCCAAATGAAAGCTTTGAACTTTTCATTTGATGTAGTTGCTTGACTTGCGAGAGATGGTATCAATGGCGAGCTGACTGAAAGACACAAAGAGAGGTGCATTGCTTCCTCTTTAATCCCAGTCGCACCACCCTTCTCTGGTGACTGGACATGTAGACCATATATGGTCCCAGATCTCCACATGGTTATTGCACATCACTCAGATCAGATTTGCATCGACTCATCTGTTCTTTGTTACATATCCATCCAAATACTTTGATCCTGACAACTATCATACCACACTGGCAGAATAGAGTTGCTAATTGAACTTGTAGAGTTTGATGTGAAAAATGCATAGACTGTTCTAGTAGTTCTTGATCTAACCTTCTTTCATAATGTGGCTAAACAAATAATCATTAGAAGCTTGTTGTGACTCAAGGGAAATCATGAAATTATGTGAGCACTTCTGGAAATTCTGATAGTGAGATTTTCCTTCTTTAGTCTCTCTCTTCTTTCTTAGAAAAGGTTGAACTGTAAGAATTTTACCTTTGGAGAATAAGATCCAGGTTCTATGTTTTGACATGACATAATGTGAGAATAAGATGGCAATAAGTACTCCTTTAGTCCTTTTTTCCTTTCTTTTGATGTATGCCCACTTTGCTATCTAGGTACAAGGCTTGTTGGCTTCCTCTGCTAGCCAAACACTCTGAATGTGGAACAACAGATGGTTCTCTGTATGTTCCTCTGGACTGTGAATGGATATGGCATTGTCATCGATTAAATCCGGTGGGCATCTATTATCACTTCTGATAATTGAATTCTCATGCACAACTGTTTCTTTCTCTGGTTCTTGTTGGACAGTTTCTTATTCTGTTTCATGTTCAGGTTCAATACAAGAAGGATTGCGAAGAAACTTTTGGGAGGATCCTGGATAACCATAATGTCATATCCTCTCTGCAAACGAAATCCAAACATGAAATGTCAGAGAAATGGTCTAAGCTGTACCCAGAGGAGCCTTTTGAGCTTGACTGCAGCAGTACTTTCTCAGAGGAGACTTTCAATAAGTGCCCTGGAGCTGCTTTGGCTTTTACATATGACTTGGTTTCTGCTGTTAAAAGGCAGTCTTCTTTCTGCTACCAGGTAGCTCCGTTAGTGTCTTTTTTCCTCTATACCGCCGCAGATATCCAAGGTTCTAATCTAGTGTTTTATAGTGATTGATATTCTTTATTTATCTAAATGCAAGATACAGGAATGAATTTAGCAATAGCAACATATGGTGTACTTTGCAAACATTTACATATTCTTATTTGTGTCTTACTTTGTCTAGCGTTCATACGTTAAGGATGTGAGTCCAGTAAAAGATATAGCAGCATCTGAGGCTGCTAACGTAAAGGACCCACTCATATGTGCCATGCTTTTTGGTCAAACAAATGAGCATATTAATATTTACACTGCAAACATTGACCAGCATTTTTTGAGATAACCAAGAAAAGCACAATGTGTTAAGCTATAAATGCATAGTGAGCAAGATTTCTGATGATTTTGGGTGGTTATCAATTGCACATAACATAAAGAAATGGTAAAAGAAAAATACTGACTGTGATTTGCTGACTTCCATGTAAGGATCAATATCGAGCTTCCTCCAAAGATGGTTTTCACATTATTTAAGAGAATTTTTTGGTAGCAAATACTTGGGAACAACCAAGCGAATGATATGATTTAGATAGTTTTCAATTGTAGCTCACCTTTTTGATGCTATATAACGTGACCAAGGATTATCACTTGGAGTTTGTAGATGTTTCTATGCCCTGTGTAGTGTATGATCCCTTTTACATTTAGAAAGATACAAACATTATCCTTTGCCAAGTAGCAAGTTCACTCAGTTCATGCTTGAATGATCTATGTCATTCTTCATTTCTATTACACTAATGTTGACTGATTGATTAAATTTCTAATACTAGTCCATAAGATCTCTATATTGCCATACTATGCAGTATAATTTTGCCTGAACAATACGGAATGCCTTTTCATCTGCATCATCTGAATATTTATGATCTTTGTTTACATTCTGAGATTGCTATTTGTTTCTGACCTCAATCGTATTACTGATAGATCTCAAGACCATACATGCTTGACAACCGTTTTCTTGAAGCAGCAGTGGCCAGATATAAGGGGTTTCTGCATTTGATCAAAACAAAGCGGAATAGGTCAAAGAAACTCTTCTGTGTGCCAGCCTATGACATAGATCTCATATGGCATTCTCACCAGCTGCATCCTCTTTCTTACTGCAACGACATGATTAAGCTGCTTGGGAAGGTACTGGAGCATGATGACACAGACTCTGACAGGTCCAAAGGAAAGAAACTTGATGTTGGTTTTAATGAAACGACCAAGCAATGGGAAGATACATACGGTTTGAGATACAGGAAGGCAGGTACAATGTACAGAGGCAATTGCCCTTCTCCCGTGATATCGGATTTCTCTAGCCATCTGGAAGTAAATGAAACTATCCCTTACAGATCTCAGAATCACCTTGTGCTTCCTCAACGGATGGTTGTCGAGGTAGGATTCAGAAATTGTTTAAGTTGTTCCTTTGATTTCTAACTGAAAAAGATAGATCGTTAAACAATGGTTATTTTCTTATAAAATGGTTATCAGATATTATGCAATTGTCTTTATAGATTTAATCGAAACTGTCAATCAAGCTTTGCAGCTTCAGGCTGCAGAAGCTTTTAGTGAATTTGATTCTGAGATCCTATACTAATTTTGTTTTTGGTAATATGATTGTGCTATTTTAGAATAATAAATACTAGCAGTAATGGAATCTATATAAACATAAAGATTTGTCAAGACAAAGCACCAAATGAATCTTGGTACAACAGTAATAATGCTCATTTGCAACCATCATGTTTGAGTCAAGAAAACAGTTTATTTCCTTGTAGGGTAAAAGATTTGATTACATACATCAATTCTCTGAAGATACTCATGCATTGAGCCATCCTTTATCAAGATAAGCATTAAGCACATCTCTTCTGAAATCCATAACAATGAAGTGGGGCTATACATGCAATTAAAGTGTACCATCTATGCTTCACAAATTTTTTGTTGCAATCATTCTTTTTTCTGCAGGTGCTTTTGGAGATTGTGGGAATAAAAAACTTGCCAGACGGTCAACACGGTGACTTGTTTGTGTCGTTTAGTAAGAAAAAACCAGATATGCTCTTCTATGGTGGTACACTAGGCATTCAATCTGAAACTGGCAAGAGAGATTCAGCTAGTTTCAAATGTGAACCTACAGGGGAGCTTGTTTTGGCCCTCGTGTCCAAATCGGATTCCAAGATTGACTCATCCGTGCCAGCAAGAACTATTGGGACAACGTCGATTGCCCTTCAAGACTTGATGAATCCAGAGTCTAAATTGTCCATCGAGAAGTGGTTTGAATTGAAGCCTCAATCAGGAACTGTGGACTCTGAACCAGTTTGTCTATTTGTTGCTGTGTCTTTTACTGTTCCAGTTCCTGCTCCCCTTGAACTTCGCATGCTCAAGTCACATCCTGTCTCCACCTTACCACTCCAGGAGAAGGAAAGGATCAAAAGTTGGACCCGTTTCCTTGATCATAATGGTGATGAAGTCATCTGTCTACAACTCAGGTATTCATTGCACATCTAGCTCAATAAAGTGATCCCTATATGGATGTAGTTGAACTATTTTGAGCCAGATATTGTTGTTTTCTGAAGGTGCAAATGCATTCATCTTATCCTTGGTTTTCATATGTGCTAACACTCGTATGCAGTCACATGGTATTGTACCTATGATTGTCACTTGAGGACCACCTAGTCTCTTTCTAGTGTGGTAACGTGTGGCATGTATTTAGAATATAATGAAAGAATATTATCAGAATGGTAGGGAAATTAATAGTATTTTATGCTTCCTATCTAAAATATTCTGTCACCTCAATATCCGTGATTTGCCAAAATATATGAGATACTAAAATTAATTGATTGTTAATTTAAACTCCACAGGAATTTGGAGAAACCAGAAGAGACAAACACCACTGCTTCAAAGAAGGAAGTTGTTGGCATATCAAGACTTTCGAGAAAACCATGCTTGCTAGCAGAGTATGCAGACAATAAGTGGTCACTGAATGACTGTAATATCTCACTAGTTGTTGAGAAGGAAAAAAATCAAGATGCACATACATTTGAGATTAAAGGTGATCCCCAGGTAAGTTCATCGAGTATAAGTTCTATGAACTACTAAATCATGATGAAAGTTGATGTTTCTATTGATATTTTTTACTTCTTATATGATGCCTTCTGGTGCTCTTTAATGGCTAAAAATGATTAATCATGCAACAACAACTGTTAGGTTTCCTTTTTGGCTACTAACCTGTAAGGCATTTGTGAAGCTGATCTATAGGAACTCGAAAGACTCATAATGAAGAATGGGATATAAATATTCTTGATTGATGTGCACTTTGTTCCAACTGCTATCCTTGAATGCCATTTTCAAGAGCAAAACAAATGTACAAAATATACTTGCAAGACTGAACTTCAGGTCCATTTTGACTACTAAGATAAACAGATTACATGCTTGCTGCCAGATCTTGAATTGCATCACAATTTAGATTGTTTTGGAGGCTTCATCTTAGCTTTGTATGGTTTCTCTTCACATTGAGAGTGACATCTGTCATAAAATCTGCTACATGTTAAACTAGTCAACTGCTTCATAGATAATATCCTTATCTAAATGTCACATATCTGTTACAAACATGATCAGTCAGAAGAACCGAGCTATCTAAGGCAACTTTGATGGGAAGATTGAAGAAGATTGGGATTGAAGCAAATATAATAGATACCAAGATAGCATGGTATGAGACCCTTCATAGAGCTAAAAGTAGATACGTAAGAGCTTAAATGACCAGAAATTGTTTCAAAACAGTCAATGCATTTCAAACAAGAGAATGTCACAGCCATTTCATGTCAGTTACTTAGTATGAGATAACTGATGAGAACTAACAAAGCCACTTTATATAACCAGTCACCAGCTTTCATATGAGTTATTGACATCAAGAAGTACATGTAGCCACTAAATCTATTGACCAGCTGACTGCTTCAGTAGATGTTCACAGACAGTATTAACTGCTCCTCCAATGATATAATGTACCTTTTACATCTTTCAGCATAAAGGTCGATCATTTGCTCTGATTAACTCTCTCCTGTTTCTCAATATACTTCTTAATACCTTTTGATACATCCAAGCTTATCGAGGCAAGGAGTTAAATTAGCATCTCATGCTCAAACAGCTGAAGCTCTTCTTCGGCAAAAAGCTGGAATATGAATCCAAATGTTGCAAGGCGAGAAATGACAATGAGTTCATCACACTTGTGGAGTTATCAGCTGAAAGCCCCTATGGAAAAGCAGTCGCATTGTTCAGCATGAAATCAAACACTGTCGAGGTAACAAGCTTCATACCTGCAAACTAGATTGAACTTTCGACATCGGTAATCAGACTACTTATCCTCCTTGGCAAGTAGGTCAAAGAAGAGACGTTTGCTTTGCTTGGTATCCTACTGGCATTCATAATCAAGAAAGAAGGATGCAATGCCCTCTTTCCCGACAAAGAGGAGGCAGAAGAGATCTCCTCCCCAGCAGTTACTGAAGCGAAGATTGTCGATTGTGGAGGTGGCTGTGGTGGTGGTTGTGGCGGTGGGTGTGGAGGTGGCTGTGGAGGTGGCTGTGGCAACTTTTTAAGCGGCGTTAAGTCTGGTGGTTGCGGCGGCGGATGTGGTGGTGGGTGCGGCGGAGGTTGTGGAAATATAATTGGAGGCAGCGATTCCGGCTCCTGTGGTGGTGGTTGTAGCGGCGAGTACGGCAGTCGCTGTGGCAGTAAGTTGGCAGGTGACAAGGGAGGCGGCGGTTGTGGCAGCGGCTGTTCCGGTAGTTGCGGCGGCTGCGGGGCCGTCGTAGTTCCCAGCAACGCAAACGTGAACCCGGTTGCTGCTTAGCGGGATGACACGTGTCGTCAAGGTGGGCGCTGTTGATGCTTCGGAATAATGGAGCGTTTTGCTCCTTGTGCTGTTATGTGCTGGTATTAAAAGTCAACATCGTGATGATTATGGTCAAACCCTTAAATTTGTATGATAAATAAGACAGGCAGGCGGCAATGAACTCCGCTACCATCCACCATTCAAATGCATTTCTACGGTTGTGACGGGCTTGATGGTCCGAGTTTGTGTGGATCTTGGGTTTTGGTTGATCAGATTTCGGGTCGGGTGTGAACTTGATCCGTTCTCAAATTCGGATACGAATCCTACCTCATTACGGATTCGGATCGTGATGCTGTGATTAGCCAATATGATTGGGTTAAGAGGCCTCGTAAAGTTCACTATGATTAGCCAATATGATTGGGTTAAGAGGCCTGCGTTGGAGGCCTAATGGGCTTATCCTACCGGTTCCTTAATCTTGACCGTCCATTCACGATGATGCACGACGACGTGAGGAGGCCCGAATCGTCACGCATGCTGGAACGGTTCAGATGTGCTCGAGTTCTGATAAACCAATGGCTGGGATTCAAGGGAAGCGTTCATGTGCTATCTCTTCTCACAATAATATAAGGCTAGTCGTCAACACAAGCGAGCGGGCGAGAGAGGGAGGGAGTGTGGATTTCTCTGTTCCCTCGTCCTTCGTTGATTCGGGAAATGGAGCCCCTTCCTCTCGCAGCTGCCGCAGTAGTCGCGAAATCGACCAGGGATTGACAACCGCCGGCGGGATTCTAAGCGGAGCCAGCTCGAGCAGGTGAATCCAGGGGGGAGATTCACTTTTTTACCTTCTAATCCGAAGCTCGGGAAGAATCTTTGAGGTGAAATCCAGAGAAGGGAGAAGGAGTAGGAGCTCGCTCGTTGTCACTTCCTTCTTTTCCCTTTCACTCAATGGATTCGTTCCCAGCCGTATTCCCCCTCGTCGATCTCAGAAAAGGTGGGAACTTCTATCTTTAATCTTCTCTGGCTGATGTTCTTGAAGTTTCTTTCACTGGTCTGTTCTTTCGATGAAATCCGCGAATCTGGCCTTCTCTGGTGTGTTTCATGGTGAGGGTTTCGTGGGAGATCATTTTCATGTCTTTATTGAAGTTGCCGGATGAACGGTTTTTGATTGAGGACCTCAGGAACCCTTTTACTTAGAGTTCTCCTCCTTGTACCTGCTGCTTGTGTTTGGGTGTGCTGATTGGCTTTTGGAAGCATATATCTGTTTCTTTACTGAGATCTGATGTGATTTTGGGCTGTAATTTTCGTTCGCAGGTGATGTTCACACTTTGAGTCGTTCCTTTCGTATGTTGGAAGATCACAACAATCATAGACAGCTAAGGAGGTTATCTGTTGGAATATGACAAGGGTGCAAGTAAATTGAAATATACGAAGAGCAATCCTACCTGAAACCTTGAATTCTACATGCCACTGCTGATATATTTGTATAGATCTCCGCATCTTAACAGTATTTAGCTTCATATTTTGCTTTGTTTCCAGCATACAGGTCCAAACTAGTTGTCAGAATTACGATTGTAAGGTTCCAATTAAATTGAGAAAAAGATGGAACTGTAGTAGGATAAATGAAGTTGAAGTTGTCGGTATGTGTGAAAAGATGGAATTTTGGCCCCCCCTCCCCACCCCCACCCGAACAAAACAAAAAAAAACCTAGTTATCTTTTCATCAGTCTTAGTGTGTTTATGGATACACAAAACCAATTGCAAGTTGCAACTGCCCGATAATGAATTTCCTTGTCGTAATTATGATCATAAGGTTCCAGTTAATTTGAGAAAAAGATGGAACTACAGTAGGAAAAATGAAATTGAAGTTGTTGACATATGTGGAAAGATGGAATTCTGTCTATGAAGTATCCCCCCAAAAAAACTTAGGTATCTTTTCATCAGTCTTAGTGTGTTTATGGATACACACAAAAACAATTGCAATTTGCAACAGCCCGATAAAAAATTTCCATAACCTTTACTGAAATGAAACATTCATACTCCTTGAAGAATGTTGGATACTTAACTATGACAAAAAATGCCTTATTTTTTGTTATACATGACGGATATGGTGTTTTTTATTATTGGTATGGTATGCTTGCTGTAGTTGTTATGTGTAAACATAACATTTTCTGCAGGATTGGGATAACTTCTTCCGGGAACTTCTTTTTTTGTAAGATAAAGATGAACATATCCAACATAGTTTCAGACAGCAAAGACGTAAAGTTCAGTTCACTGAATAAGGCTACTGCATTAAATCCCAATGCAGCAGAATTTGTTCCTTCATGTGTTAAATATACTTATGGAACCACTGAAGCCTTAATTACTCCAAAGCTTGATCTACCAGGATCTTCTAGAAAATCAGTCTTAGATCGATCAGAGTCCAACATTTCAAATAATTCAGATGATGAGGTACACCAGTATTGGCCTCATCGGCTTCCAGACAACATCACTCCTGACTTTGAAGTCATGGGAGAAGATGAGCTGCATAAACCTGGACACCTTACACTAGCAGGTTTGTCAATTCATGATAGTGTTGGACAATCAAAATTTTCAGGGTCAATGACCACTAGTGGTGTATTGGATATGTGGGATCTATCTTCTCCGACTCTTGATAATATTAACTTGAGTGGAAAGATGAGATATCCTGGATCCATCTATGCTAAAGAACAACCATCAGTTGCTTCAATAACTTCAGCTGATAATTTATGGAGTAATCCTCTCATAAATGGTGAACAGCAGGAGGAGCATCGTTATAATGGGAATCATAATACCAGTTCAATGGGTGATTTTATAGGTGATAATGTGTTTTTGGAGAATTATGCCACTGATCCCATAGAGTTCTTGTCATCACAGTTCCCTGGTTTTGGTTCTCAGAGTCTTGCAGATGTTTATTATGGGAATGGATGTGATTTGAACTTAACCATTGGGATTCTAGCTCAGCTTGAGGTATGTTTGCATCTGTTCAATTTTATTTTATTTTTGTATAAATTAGTACACTTCATGTCTGACCATGTGGTGAATGTTGAGACTTTAAGAAGCCACAGATTTGGTTCCCTCGTAAATATGTAAGAAAAGCAAATTTGGCAAAATATTGGTGTTTGATGTCTTCATGAAGGTTTTGGAACTGTGGATGGACCATAATTTGCTGTTTATTCCATGCTTAAAAGAGTGTGCTTTAACATCTGCCTAAATCAGCAAGTGCAATTTGCTGGTTGACAATACCAACATGTCATCTGGATTTAGATTTACAAGTGTGGAAAAATATGAATTTTGACTGTTTGACGTCCTGGAAGAATTACTGGAAACCAAAATTTTCTTATTTATTTTTTGAAATATATTTAAATGCTTAATTTTATCATCTTAAACTACTGAATGAGCTTTTTGAAAATGTATTATCATGATATATGTTGCTAGGGTTTAGAAAACAGTGATGGAATGGAAAAGGAAATTTGTTAGAACTTTAGAAGCACAGAGAATATCTTGCGACCATTCATTCATCTAGTGGGTCTCTTTGTTTCTGATCAAATGAGATATCTTGGTTTCTTTCTCTTTTCCGTTTAGCAAACCATAATGGCTTTATCTTATTAGAATTTTGAGCATATTTGAGATCATTTTAGGATGAAGAGCAAAAAAAGAAAGTCTCTGATGATTCAGGATTTGATAATTGTGTTGCTGTTGTGGCTAAAAACAAAGGCTTAAAATTTTTTTTCTTTTACTGTTGGACATCATGATTAGTTGTTTTAAATAGAATGGCAATGCACAGAGAGCTTGACTGCAAGGACATACTTTGCTCTGCCACTTATTGGCACAAATCTGAGATATCAAAACAGAATTAGTATTATAAAGGTGATGTTTGAAGTTTGTACATTCACTCTTTGGTTGCCTTTTGTCACATTTATATATCTGTTATTTCTGGTGTAACACATGCTCTGCTTATCACAAACTGATGATGCATGAACGTTTATCTAATAATATTTCCAGGTGACTCATTTCTAATAGCTTTCATCTTTGTAATGAGTTTTTGTTTTTCTTATCATTAATTAGATAAGGAGGTGAATTTTAGTTTATAGCTTTTGGTGCTGTTTTTTCTGAAGCATTTGTAAAGTTTTGCCACAAAATGCTAGAGTTCTATTGATAGCGTTAAAGGATAGCACAATGGTTCAAAAGTTGTATGTTAATCACCAGGTGTAATTTAATGGGTTGCAAGGAGGTCTGACAGTAAAATTTCCATATTGCAGCTTCAAGTTGACAGTGGTTTTGGCCCAAACCTTGACTCAAAGTCCTCGGCTACCCCAAACTTTAGCCCACTGGACTTTCCTACCCTTCCAGTAGGAAACACTCAGAATGGTTTGCCAAAGCCTGATGGAGAAGATCTCCAACATGGCTTCATTACATATAGATCTCCTGGTATATTAAGAGGTGACATTGATTTTGCTCCAACTGTTAGAAAACTAGCATTGCAGGATCCTGGTCATTGGAAGTATGATGGAAATGGTACCTTTGATGGTAGCACTGGTTCAAGTAGAAGTTCCAGATTGTCAGGTAGCTCGTATAATGGTAGTGGCAGAGTTCGTTATGGAGACAAATGGAGTGGTTCAAGTGCAGCTCGGGCATCTCCTGTTTGGCTTGAGAGTGGGGAAGCAATGGGTAAAAATACTCTTACAGTAGCTTCTCTGTGATTTAACAAAATTGTTTCATCAATCCCCACTTATTTAGGTGGTTTTCTTCTAATTGTTTCTCCATTTTTTGTCTATGGTAGCAAATATTTATACAGAATCGGGGGAAGAAGCTCGTGATTTTACACGTCTTCGAAATGCATGCTTTGAACAGGTAGGCGTGCTCGTTTCTATTGCATTTAGTGTAGGAGGACAATGTATTTATTCACAAGTGACAGAGATATGTCTGTTTAGATTGATTGACTCTATGTTGTTGGCTGAATGTTGAACTGACTGGTTTAGATTTCAGTGTTCTTATATGTTGGATACCTGTTAAAATAGTACAAGTAATATAAACAGCGATCTATAGTAATCAGATAATGCAGATCATCAGTGTCCTGAGGACAGCAAGAAAATCTGGGTTACATTTTAAAGTTACCTGGATGTTTCTTTTTTGTTGTCCATTCAAAATTTGTATCTAAATTAGGGTAGGTGGACTGATTCTTTTTAATGTTTTAAAAGAATAACCACACTTAATATCCCCTGGA